TTATATGTCATAAATAAGGAATATTATGTATATATGTATGTGTGTGTGTATAAATATATGTAGAATATATTCTATAAATATAAAGAAAATATAGTATAGAAAATTATTTCAATATTAAATTATTATTATTATTTTTTATTCTTATATGTTGTAAATGTGTAATGTATTTATTTATTTATTTATAAAACAACTCCACTAAGACCTCTTTTATTATTTTTTAGTTTTTAAATCTAATTATAATAATGGAGACATAAATATATTACTGTTGTAACTTACAGTTGTACTGTTAAATAAAAAAACAATATTTGATCATTATAAAGATCATTTAACTCTACAAGTTACCAATGTTTATGCCTTAAGTTCTTCACTTTTAAATGGTCAAATCCTCAAGCTTTTATTTTGGGGAATTTCTGTAAACTTCTGTCCACAGAAATGTTGGAAGTTATGCAAATGTGTAAATAAAGTGCACCAAAATGCATTCCAGAAATGCATGAACTCAGAACGCATACAGAGATGGAGTTGGTGAGAAAAGTTTACTGTGAGCCGAGCTGCTTTGAGACCCTGAAACACTGGGGACAAAAATCATTGTCTAGAGGTCTTACCTGCAAAAAAAAAAAAATATATAAATAAAAACTAATACAAATAATATAAATACACTAAAAAAAAAAAAAAAAAAAAAAATTGGAAGAGGTCTTACCTGCATAATAAATAAATTAAATAAAGTTCTGTTGAGCAGCAGAAAATGGGGTATATAGTGCAACGATATTGGCTATGCTGGCTTGAGCCCACAGCAAACACCAGGAAGATGCATAAGAAAACTACTTTTCCAGCCACTGACCAGAATTCCTGATAAAATTCCAAGTCAAGTCCAATGGAACAGGATCACAGCTAATTACAATCCAGCTAGAACTGTTGCCATGGCAATGCATGGAACATTGCATGTAATGTATTATGTATGGCATCGGATTCCCCCTTAACATGAGCTAAGTTAAAAGAAAGCGTGAGATAAAGAGCCATACGCTTTGGCAGGCTCGTTTAGGGCGACTGTTACTGCTTTCCCAGCTTTGATGTAAATCTCGACTGCTGCTGGCAGAAGGTGAGTTTGAAAAAATGTGCTGGTGTGTGGAAATAAATATCGACTCTAGAGAGCCAGTGAGTGGAGCAACATGTTTGAGACTGCAGAGTATGACAACAGAAAGCTCAACTGAAAGCCTGTTTACTTTGCACTGTTTATCTGTGCACGTCTTTCCAAAGAACACCAAAAGCTCATTATCAAGATAAAGTCAGGTTCTCTGCCAGTGAAATGACACATGCACGCTACAAAGGACACAGTGAAGTCTTGCCCACATCGTTTTCCAGTAAGTATCATCGTTTCACTCGGAAATGCATCACATTAGTCAGGGATATTGAACAGTCGGCTGGTCGTTTTGCGAAACAAACCCTGAGGCTTGAGTCTGAGCTCAATGTCTCGAGAACACCACAAAATTGAAGTCAGCCGGCTTAGAAATGCCTTACTTATGGTTATCTCTGCATGTCATACTGGATACAAAATAAATAAATACATAGCCGTAAATGCATAAATCTTACACAAACACCAACACATTCTCTCGAAACTGCCAGTTGAAATACCTTAGTGTTCTTCTAGTTTAAGTGTTTATAATATTTACAGTTGGGCATGTGTTAGTTTTTCACAAACCAAAGTATAGGTGAATTTGCAGCATTAGTGAACATATATATTGTACAATAGAACATGCTTCTCAAAGTTATATCAGTAATACGGAATGCAAAAATATAATTTTAGGGGAAAAAAAGGAATTTTAAAAAATATCACTCAATTTTGCTTCCATGTTTAAATTGAGCAAATAATTCAGCAGATAATAATTATTGACCCAGTCTCCCAATTAGAGCACATTTTGTCTATATGTCTATATTAAAGGGTTAGTTCACCCAAAAATGAAAATTAGGCTGCGTTTTACTCACCCCCGAGGCATCCTAGGTGTATATGACTTTCTTCTTTCAGACGAATCCAGTCGGAGTTATATTAAAAATTGTCTTTGATCTTTCAAGCTGTTTAATGCCACTCAGCGGGTGTTGCATGCATCAGTCCAAAAGAAGTGAAATAAAAATCGCCCATCCATAAAAAAAAGTGTCTCACACGGCTCCGGGGGGTGAACAAAGGCCTTCTGTAGCGAATCGATGCGTTTTTGTAAGAAAAATATCCATATTCAAAACGTAATAATCACTTGAATCTAGCTTGCGCTCACTGTTGTACACGGAAGCAGCTCCGGGCGGATGACGTATGAGTTCAGCGTTGTGCATGCGCCTCTCAGACGTGACGAATGCAGAAGCGCAGCGGAGAGATCAAAACAAAACAACGGTCAAGAATTTAGAAGTACAAAACGAGGATTTGTAAAGAAGAATGTCAGAGGATTTCAGTATTTTCTGTAACCAGATAACAGATCAGATCTATTTTCAGCGCAGTTTTTTAAAAAAGTCTTAATTTACTTTTTTCACAAATTGAGACCTTAAATGATCTGAAATCAGAGCAGAACGTCTTAAATTCATAGTCATTTCATTAAATGTTGCATGCATTGCAAAAAAAAAAAAATACATGAATAAATATTAAAATAAAATGCAGTGTGATCAAAAAGTACAGTAAGTTAGTTCAGTATTTTATTTTTTTGGTATAAATTGAGTTGAAAAGTAATGGCAATCTATTGAAAGTTGCGATTTCAGGCTTTGAAGCATTGCAAATACAAGACATTTACACTTAGAGACCATATCGATGTATTGTGTCTTTTTTATCCTTTTCCTTAAGTTGTGTACTTGGTCTAAAGAAGGTCTTGAAGTTTACCTTCATAAAACCTGCAGAAACCCTGTATTAGGGCTGCACGATTGAAAAATTACAATGATCTAATCATGCATAATGTAGATTAAACCGCAAAAGTCTACTTGCTTTCTCTTTACCGTGTTTTTACACAGTTTGTGCATTGTGGCTTCACTAACTCATTGCCTGCTGAATGTGGATGGGATGAGAGTGAGAGATGGAAATCCTGGAGTGGATCCGGAGCAGCGTATTTAGTCCTCAGAGTCTCCGTCTGTGAGGGCAAAGCGCCACATATCCACCCTTCTGTCTGAATCTCTCGATAAAATAAATAATACTGCGGGGATTTATGTTCTCTATTCATTTCCACTCACAAATTCTTGAGTAAAGATATGCAGAGGAAAGATATGCAGCGAAAGCTTTGAGTACTTAAATTGAAATGAACGCAGTGTGTGTCTGCTGGGTGTTCAAGGTTTGCTTTGCATTCGAAGTATAAAAGCAGAGCGTGTGATGGGATGAATGCTGTGTATTATGGCACATTGACAGACAATTGACATTTGACGCATGCACTGTGACGTAATTCAGCTACATCAGTGCATGTGTTATAACAAGCACAGAAGCCATTTTTTCATGAAGGTCGCTCTAGATAATGCATGACTTCTGTGTTTATCATAATGCATGCACTATGTAAGTTTTGCTTCTGAAAGGGAAACCCCTACAAATGCATATGCAATACGGTCAGCCGCAAAAATAACTGCCTTTTAATTGCTATTTATTCACTTTAGTCTTTAGTAAATCCTGACAGTAATTTTTAAAGGGGTCATATGATGTTGCTAAAAAGAACATTATTTTGTGTATTTGGTGTAATGAAATGTGTTTATGCGGTTTAAGGTTCAAAAAACACATTATTTTCCACATACTGTACATTATTGTTTCTCCAGCCATTTGTCGCATCCAGTGGGGACATAATTACGGATTATAATGACTATTACTGTCTTTTTACGCGTTGCGTTGCGTCGGTCTTCTTTCTTTGCGTGAACATTTGGGCGGCGTTATCCTAATATATCCACATCGTGACGTAGACATGTGGGGGCGTGTTAGAACGAGGCGTTTTAGGTAGGTGTGGCTGACTCTTAACTTTTATAAAGAATATCTCTTTGGATTTGAGACTTTAGTCTTTGCAACTTTACAGATCTTCTTTATGCACCAAGAGCTTGTAACACTCCAAAGAGAAAGGAAAAATTTAAATCGCATCATATGACCCCTTTAACTCCAAAAGAGGGTTTGTGTTGCTGCAAGCTGATAGGAAATCTGAACTCAAGTCTGTGGCAGCTCGTTGAATCATACAGTAACAAGTTATGAAATTTGGCACACAGTTAGTGGACAGTCCCAATGTAAACTACATGTCTCTGCTTGCATATTTTAAATCATGTGGTCCAGAAACCTCATTGTACAGAATAACAATATCTCAAATATTGCACGGCAACAGAAAACGCCTCTTTATGTTTTGGTCACTAATATCATCTACTTTATCCTCCCACACTTCACAACGTTCCCTGCATCTTAGGGAAATCTTTAATAGTCATATCTTATAGTATGATGGCTTTTTGCGAGGATGCAAAACAAAATGGACAAATGCACAAATGTCGTCTCATTTATTAGTGACATGCATTAATAGCAGATATCAGACAATATTTCTCTATTTTTGTCGACATGTTTATATGGTAAATTGTGAATTTGCTGCACCAAAAGAAATATGCTGACCCATCTACTTCATACAGGACTCAGGAAATCACGCTGATGCACTTTAAGAATAATATTATGACATTACTCCAAGAGCTGTAGACATAATGCATGCTAAAAGTGCAGTCTGTAATTTTAGAAATGACACCAAACCAAGTTATTACTTCATGCAAGAAGGTAATGTCCAGTACTTAATGCTTTTGTGGTTAAAAAAGTGGAAAAAAGGCATGATTAAAAACATATATATGTGACCCTGGAGCACAAAAGCAGTCTTAAGTCGCTGTCTGCCAGTTCAAATAGGAAACTGTTTTTAAACCGGTTGCACTCAAAGTCTTTCACAAAGACGCACTGTTTTAGGTTTTTCTGTGTTCAGTGTTGGTGGGCCATTAAAGCTGAAATCCTCTGACCTGTGATCTGCCTGTCTTTCCTCCAGCCTTCAGTCGTGCAGCGCTGCCGTTCGGTCTGGTGCGGAGAGAGCTGTCGTGTGAGGGTTACCCCATCGATCTGCGCTGCCCGGGGAGTGATGTCATCATGATCGAAACCGCCAACTACGGCCGCACAGACGACAAGATATGCGACGCAGACCCCTTCCAGATGGAGAACATTAACTGCTACCTCCCGGATGCATATAAAATCGTATCTCAAAGGTAAAAGACTGTTTGCCAAGCATTGCCTGTAGTCCAAATGTGGATGCTATTTCCTCGTTTGCAGATACTGAATTTCGCTCAGCAGATATCGTGTGCTTGTTTCTGAAAAGCTCTAGAGTTTTAACATGCAAACTCAAGTTCAAATTCTTCCAGAGTTCTTTTATAAATAAACGCCACCTGCGTTAGTCCACTTTAATTCGTCCAAACCTCATTAGGGTTTGACATATTCCATTCTGTCGCTGTTAGTTTGGAATTTGAGGGAATACTCCTCAAAATGAACCATATGCTTTTGCTTTCATGATGGCCTAAATTTGACGTTTAATTTCTTCTTTTGCATATACTTGAAATGGCAGAGCCTCACAGTGTACCTGCGGTCCTGAGTAAATATCTGCTCTTTATGTTAGTGGCTCTCTGAAGGCTCTCTTGTTTGAGTAAATGTGTGAACTCACACACAGACTGATGACTGTCTAAACCTAAAGCATCTAAAGCAAACCAGATATTGTGGCTACTTTGATTATGTGCATTCAATTCACATTTTTTCAGTTCAGTTCACATTTATTTGTGTAGTGCTTTTCACAATACGTGCCATTTAAAGGTTTCTACATTACAGTTAATTCACCTACCAAGTACAGTTTTCCCAGCTCTGTTTAAATCCATTTCATGTCATTCTGCAAATTCTTCTCCTGGAATCAGACTATTTTAATAGCCAACAATATTTTTAGGCCATGGATGTTTTTTGACATTTGGTTGTTAGTGTTTCTAGGTTTCACATTTTATATGTGAGCTGTTAAAATAACTGGCTTGTCTCACTCTTGTAGCTGATTGATCCAGTGGACATACTTTTTGGACTATATAACAGTAAGATTAACCATCATGATGCATTCGGGTCTGTTTTGACCTGGAAGAGATGGATAGAAAATTCTTACAAATTAAAAAAGCCCTAGAATATTTGCTAATGCTTTGAGACCCTCAAAATAAAAATTTAAATCCCATTTATTCCAGTTGGGAATATATTATTGCATATATATTGCATCTTGTGGTTCATGTTATCGTGTATAATTAGAATTTTTTAAGAGTTTCTCAATTTTAACTAATAATAAAAAGCAAATGCTGTGATGGTGACTTTTATTTTTTTTTACATTAAATAATTAATGAAAAGTTGCTGTTTGGATACGATATAGATTTAGACTTTTATAAAGTAACGATTATTTGGGTCCAAACGGACCAGATGCAATATTAGTATACAGATTTTGAATGCATTATGAAGGTTAAAATGGTAAAAAAAATGTATGTTCTTCACTTCAATAACTGTGTTTTCCACCACTGTTTGACATTTAGATTAGATTCCCCCAAAATAAAAGGAAATATATCCAGTAACTGCACAAAGCATGCAAACTTTTAATGAGACAAGCACTCTGTAATCTATTATTGGTTGTTTGTTTGTCACTAAGTAAAGTTGTTACACACTGTACTGCTTTGCTAACTTAGGTTGCCAGATCTGAGTAAAAACTAGCCCAATAAAAACTATTCTAATGACCCAAGCCATCACTGTTATGCAATACACACAATTTTAACTTGAAAATCACTGTACAGGCTAGTCATAATCATAAAAAAACTGTCTATATTCATAAAGAAGCTCCAAGGCTCTGTGCTAGTGGCCTTTCCCCCTCACAAAACTCATGATCCAGCACAGTTTTAGCATTGGTGAAATTTAAAATGGGTAAAAGATTTCAATACAAGCATTTCAGTCAAATACAGTTTATGCAATATGTCAAACTTTTAACCTACAGGGGAGAAAAGATACAGCCAGCAGCAACAGTTTAAAAGTCGCCCAATTCCACGGTAAAACCACAGACTTGGCAACCCTGGTGCTAACCCTGCTCCGGAGCTATCAGGGTTTAAAGAGACAATAACCCAAGGTTAAACACAGTGTGAAAAGCCCCAAAACTGGAAGTTTTCTGGAAGAGAATTTGAAAGTCCTTTAGGGTTTTCTGCCCTTTTTTTTACTTTTCTGTTTTATATTCCACGTCAGAATTACTTGCATTTGGCCTTGAGTTAGAATTAATGATTTTATTTCTTAATTAATACATTTTTTCCCCCTGGATAGCCTAAAGCTTAAAGTGTCTTGTGGTTAACATGAGGATGTGTAAGCATGCATTAACACAGCCGCACTTCAGTGCATGCAGAACATGATGCAAGGAAGGTGCAATTAACAAAAATGATACAAGACGTCTTCATGCAGAAGCAAATATTCATAAGCTCGATGGACACCTAATTAATCTAGAGGTGTGGGGGGAGGTCATGTAAGGTGCTAATGTGAAGTTAAAACTGTGTTGAAGAAGATATTTTGAAGAATATGGGTATGCAAAGAGTCGTTGGTCCCGATTGACTTCCATGGTATGAAAAAAAATCCCAATGAAGTCCGTGGGGACCAGAAATTGTTTGGTTACCAGCATTCTTTAAAATATCTTCAAAGCAGTAAATGATGACTGAATTTTCGGGTTACTGTCCCTTTAAGTGAACACTTCTCTGAGGAGTTTTGTGCATTAATTGATTTCATTGAATGTTGTTCGGTGTTTCAGGTGTAACAATCGGACGCAGTGTGTTGTCATCACTGGCTCGGATGTCTTTCCAGATCCGTGTCCTGGGACATACAAGTATCTTGAGGTCCAGTATGAATGTGTGCCATACAGTAAGTGATCTTACAAATATTCTGAAATATGGCTCATACCAAAAAATAATAATAACAATTTTATCTCGTTTATTTTACTGTAATTTTTTGCAAAGTAATAGTAGAACAGTAAAATGCTGAAATGTAATATTATGGAATTTGGTATGGCATATAACATTTAAGAAGTTAATTTTTTTAAATAATAATAATAATAATAATCAATAAAACAACCCTAAAACTTCATCTGTATGTGGGTCAAAGATGATACGTCCCATTTTGGTGTCCGCATCAAATTAAGTTTACAAAAGTGATTTTATATACAGAAAAGCATATTAAACGCAAGTAAAGTGTCTGCTTTAATGTTTTAAATAACTTTTGTGAAAATAAAATGTCAATATGTGGGTGAAATAATGTTCCGTTGTCATTCAGCATAACAGATATATTTATGTACAAATAAAACAACATACTTATTCTGATCTGTACTTAATAAAATATATACAAGAAAAAGTGATCATACTAAATTTGATTATATTTTATATACAAACCTAGTGGTTTGAAGGTAAGTGGCAAAGATTGGTAAAGATTTAAAATAGCAATCAATTAGTATTTGTAGGGCTGCACTGTCATCTGATGATTCAGTAAATATGCAGACACAATTCTTTGCTGTGTAAAATACTGTTACACTAATTGACATTTTAGTGGGTGTCTTCGGTAAATCATGGTAAAAATGTGTGATAGTCTATTAAAAATAAATAAATAAATGCATACAAATAATGCTATATTAAACTTTTATTGTTTTGATGCTTAAACCCCCTTTTCGTCTTTGACCCATGTTTTGATGTTGAATAAGTAATAGCACCCCACACGTAATATACCGCTTCAAACATACATAGTAAGCTTACTAACAGCTTTTATCCTTATATCATAGCTCTGTTCCAAAACATAGTGAGCTGCTCTTCTTAGGAAGCATCCTAAGCAAGTGATTTCAGACTCTCTTCATGCGCAGCAACTCTATCAACAGTCACAATTCATGTTACCATGTTGCCAAGAAAATCACACAATAACCAAAACAAGTGCAAAAATACAAAACACAAACCCAAATAGTACACTTATTTGCTGTGTAATACAGACTAATACATTTATTTATATACTGTATATGTTTGTATACATTTAAAATGAATATAAATAACCAGTGCAGTGCAATCTGGGATTGCCTTATCCATGAAAGAAACGTGCAGTGCTGCCATAGATTTAGACAGACATTTGGGATGCTTTGAGTGCAACAATGAAGCCTTAAATTACTCTCTATACAGTAAGCAGCTCATTAGGATTTGGAACCGAGCCATTGTCTGTTTCAGCGTTTAGCTTCGTGCCGTTGTTTCTCCGTCAGTGATTAAATGGAGAGGTCTTTACTCTGTGTTTAATATCTTCAGCTCAGCTTTTGGATTTCTGATTCTTTGTCCCGTTTTGCAGCTGATGGCCGTTGTGTCCTTTTCTACAGATACTTTGTTTCTTTTGTTTGTCTCTCTATTGAAAGCCTCTAGTTTTTTTTCAGATGGATGTCAGAGGACCATGTCCTGTTTGTGGTGACCAAAAATTTTGGCTGTGATTTTCTCAGAGACTCTGATATGTCTTTTGAAAATCAAATATTTCTTTCTCTCTGTATTTTTTTTTTAGTAATTGCATTAACTTTTTCAGTAACATTTAAAGTTAGGAACCAATTCTCACTATTAACTAGTTGCTTATTAGCATGCATATTACTAGCATATTGGCTGTTTATTAGTACTCGTAAAGTACATATTAATGCCTTATAAAAGTGCTTTGGATAAAAGCAACTGCTAAATGACTAAATGTAAAATACTTTCATTCAACAAGGATGCATTAAATTGATCAAAACTGATAGTAAATGCATTTATGATGTTAAATGCTGCTCTTTTGTCGGCGCCAATAGCCTCATGGTTAGTGCGTAGACATACAGCGCAACTGCGCTCACGGTGACCCGAGTTCGATTCCTGTCTCGAGGTCCTTTGCCGATCCCACTCCCTCTTTCTCCTCCCAGTGCTTTCCTGTCATCTCTATCTACTGTCCTATCTATAAAAAATGCATAAAAGGCCCATAAGAAATATCTAAAAAAACAAATGCTGCTCAGAGTAACAGAGTATCCTGTGATAAAAATGTATCAGTTTCTACAAAAATATTGGGCAACACAACTGTTTTCAACATTGATAATAATCATAAATGTTTCTTGAGCAGCAAATCAGCATATTAGAATGATTTCTGAAGATCATGTGACACTGAAGACTGGAGTAATGATGCTGAAAATGCAGCTTTGATCACAGGAATAAATTACATTTTACTACATACTCACATAGAAAAGTTATTTTAAAATGTAATATTACTGTTTTTACTGCTTTTTGATCAGAAACATGCAGTCTTGGTGAGACATAAAATCTTACAGACCCCAAACTTTATTTCTCTTTGGCTTGGATTTTCGTTTTAATGAGAACTTTAAAAACCAAGCAGAAGCCTGCTTGCAAGTCAGATTGTTTCTTTGGCAGTGGATTGAATAGACGACCACTGCAGCACTAATCCTTCTCCCTTTCAGGAAATTTAGTGTGCAAACCTTCTCACTTAATTCATATTCATGATCTAAGATTGTTACTACGCCCCTTTCTTCATTCCTCACTTTTTTTTAAATTCACTTAAAGGGGTCATATGATGCTGCTAAAAAGAACATTATTTTGTGTATTTGGTGTAATGAAATGTGTTTATGCGGTTTAAAGTTAAAAAAACACATTATTTTCCACATACTGTACATTATTGTTTCTCCTCTATGCCCCGCCTTTTTGAAACGATGAAATCGCATCATATGACCCCTTTAAAATGTCCAAAAAATTATTTTCATATTATATTAATATGAGATCATGAAAATTTAAATGTATGTTAATTAATACATTAACTTGCCTGTAGATGTGTTATTTGTTTTTGTGACAATACATTGTTCACGATAATGTTGTTCAACTGCAGTCTTATCTAATCTTAGAGAATAATGGAATATTAGACAATTAATGGTTAAAAGAAAAGATTGTATGCTTGTGTCCTTTTTAAATGCCCTTTAATATCTGTCTGCCTCTTTATGTTGTCGTTTTTCTTTCTCCTGCTCTCTAACTGCTAACTTCTCTCTTTGTTGCTAGGTGTCCACTGATAGCAACATGATTAATTAAACCTTATTCTCAGTAACACAGGTGTTGTCCCTAAGCGTTTTTACTTTGAACATTTTTTTCTCTGCATATGCTGTAAATTTTCCCATTGGATGGGCTCATCTTTGACGTAAACGTATTGGCCTGTATATGTAAATGTAAGGGTTTTTTTGGGGGGTGGGGGGGCTCTTCTAATCTTTTCTCTCCCTTGATGCTCTTTCCATTCTCTTGTTTTTCCTCGGCTCAAAATAGAAGTGGAGCAAAAAGGTAAATGACTGCTCTGGCTCTCAGTCCTCAGCTCCTTGTTTTGTGTTGTATGGTTTCGAACCCTTCCCACTGCTCCCCCACCACCCCATCGCCTACATGATATCAAGATGGAGATCTATCGAACCCAAGCCCAGAAAATGTTGGGTTGGAGGTTAAAATGTCAAAAATCAACCTCTTTTTATACACTTCACACATAGATATTAAACCGAAATCTTCTATGGTCTATATTGTATATTATTGTCCATTTTCCAAGGTCATGCGTGTAATTTTTATGATGAAATACTTTCTAATTTCCCAGTTTAATGTGCAGAGCCAATTATAAGTAAGCTGTCTTTCAGTTGATCCCCTGCAAAGTGCAAACACTGTGGGGTTAACAACAAATTACTTTGAAGTGTCTAGTCCAACCCAACTTTGACTAAAGTGGGACCTTTCTATTTTTAAGACAGGGAACACAGTTTTGAAAACCTGTTTGGAAACAATTTTTATGCCATTCTATTCAATGCCATTAGTAGCACAACAAACGCACGCTTCACGTTAAAGTAAGATAAGCTCTTTGACACAGTTGGTTCATGTACAATGAACTTTGGCTGAATTTTATTTGGCTTTTTCCTTCAATGATATTGATGGGAGAGAGAGGCCGACTGTCTGTAGCCATCTGCATGTGATATGCTGTTCACCACAGACTTTGCATTTCCAACCGGTTCAACACCAACCAAAGACGGGCGCGTTTGGCAAAGGCCTCGCTCTCGTATTCGTTCCTCAGTGACATGAGCGAAGACTCTTCTCTTTGACTCATCCTATCTGTCCTGAACAGCATTGCCACCCTGTTCCCTCGACCTCCGTGTCCTTTCCTCCCGCCTCTCATGTGTCGTTGGTTCTTTCCTCAGACATAATCCATGTATGTGTGTTTACTTTCAAAGGTATGGCTTTTGCGACCAATCCGACAAACCCTCCCCATACTGTCGACGTAAAAGAACCGTGAACGTAGATATTCCAAAATGAATGTTATCTGTCCATTAGCATTGTTTCTCTCATCTTTTTTCATTTACAGGACTTTTTTTGCCGTCCTCTTTTTTCCCTCTTGTCTGTTCCTCTCAGTTACGCTTGTTTGAGAACCATCTCAAGGGAGCAAGGCCACCTCAAAACAGAGTCTCACTTAACCTCTCGTTTTCTTTCGACTATGCACGCAACACCAGTTATCACACTGCCAAAGTGAAAATGTGGTACATTAGCTTCTGAAAGCCATGTTTTACTTACACACACCCAAAGAATTGGACCTAAAGTATGCATAGTAGGTATTGGAGTGCATTGTAGAGTGCATTCCTGGTTCGTTTTCTAACTCTAGTTCTTGAACTTTCTTCCCAGTTTTTATTTGCCCTGGGACTCTGAAAGCGGTAGGAGATCCAGCCTTTGTCTTTGAGGCGGAACAGCAATCCGGAGCTTGGTGCAAAGACCCCCTGCAGGCGGGGGACAAGATCTACTTCATGCCGTGGACTCCGTACCGCACCGACACGCTCATAGAGTACGCCTCACTCGACGACTTGCGAAGCGGCCGACAGACGACTACCTACAAACTTCCACACCGTGTTGACGGAACAGGATTTGTGGCATACGATGGGGCCATCTTCTTCAACAAGGAACGCACGCGAAATATCGTCAAGTTTGACTTGCGGACTCGGATAAAGAGTGGGGAGGCCATAGTCGCAAATGCCAACTACCACGACACCTCGCCGTATCGCTGGGGCGGGAAAACAGACATTGACTTGGCAGTTGACGAACGGGGACTGTGGGTTATCTACGCTACAGAACAGAATAACGGACGTATCGTTCTCAGCCAACTCAATCCTTATACTCTGCGCTTTGAGGTCACTTGGGAGACCGTCTACGACAAACGCTCGGCCTCCAATGCCTTCATGGTGTGCGGCATACTTCATGTGGTCCGTTCCACCTATGAGGAGAATGAAAGCGAGGCCAGTAAGAGCCAAATTGACTATGTGTATAACACCAAACTGGGGCAAGGGGAGTATGTCAATATTCTCTTCCCTAACCAGTATCAGTACATCGCAGCTGTGGATTACAACCCGAGGGATAACCAGCTATACGTGTGGAATAATTTTTACATTCTGCGATACAATCTGGAGTTTGGGCCACCCGATCCAGATGAAGGTAAGACTCATTATGGTCTTTATGGAGTCTGATTTGTCTGCAGAGTGTAGGCTGTTATGGATGATTTAGTTTAAATTTTGAGTACTGTAGAGAGTCCTCTAAATCAAAATAGCTGAAGTGTATGGGATTATCGTTTTGTGTGATTGTCGCAGTGACTGCTTGTGAAGGCATATTATGGCAGTGAGCCAAGCAAGACTCTCATTCGCTCGACTCGAGTGGCTGATGAGTCTTTGCAGTCCTATTCCCCTTTATTTTTTCCGTAACCCTGTAAATCTCACCCGTAAACTCAGACCGGGAGCTGCAGGGGGATCTTCACAATTGGCATGTTTCACAAAAGCATATGAGAAGCCTAGAATAAAATTATCTCAACTTGTTCCAATTGGAATCTGATTAATTTCCAAGAGAATGGGATTTCCAATACATTTAGACAATCTCAATATCATTTGGTGTGTGGTAAAGGAAAATGCATAGCATGTGCATGGAAAGATGCAGTTATCATTGTTTGCAAAAAGGCTCAAGGAATGACAGCGCTACCAAGCGTAGACCTCTAATTGCACAGTATGTGTTAACTAAGCCTAGCTTTGACCCTGCTTAAGAAAATCTATAGTCTAAGCTAGTTGCCTTTGCTTTCTCCAGAAATGTGTTAAAGCAATAGTCATTGCATGGCCCAAATGCATGTATCATTGCCTCACAACAAGGCTTGAGAAATGACTTGCCAGAGGAGAAAATATCAGTCATCAAGAGCCATTAATTGTGATTGTGAGCCATTAGACAACATTCTTCTGTTAGCAAGAAGAATAATTAAACAGAAACCCAATGTTATTATTTTTGTGCCAAATACCCTGTGCATGCAAGAGTGTATTTTATGTGCAAAAAGGCGTGCCCATGTGTAAAGAATTATTGTATTGTAAAACCGTGTATCTTTTTGCAAAGAAGGGCAATGTGACACTTTGTTTCTAAAAAAAAATTTACCCAGTCATCAATATTTCCCCCTCATCCCTCATAGGTTGAAAACCTGGTGCAAAAGCTATGCGCCGTTGAGCATGTGAGCAGTGAAAGCTCTGAGCACACATAGTATGTATGAGGAGAGAAAGCCAGTGAGATCTTGCACATGTACTGCAGTCACAGAGATCTCAGAATTGTGTTCAGATGTGGACATCAGCACATTTTTTGATGAACATTTCTGTTAGAATTGAATGCTTAAAACTGAGTTCCCATGTATGTAAAATACTTTTGCGTGCTTAAAATATCCCCTTGTGTGTGCAGAGTTGTGGCACAAAAATAGCTCCATAAAAACTATGGTAAGTGGTGGCACTAGTGCCTGCTGTGCTTTAGCAGCACTTCCCCTTTTGACTAGGTCTGATTGTTTCCATTTCTGTCTGCTGTCCTTAGCCGTGTGCATGCAAAGGTCGAGCCTTGAAATTCCAAGATCCTCTTTCCCCCCCTTCAAGCTACAATTAAGTCGACACACCAAATTTTAACTGGCCCACCATGCATGACAGGGAATGCATGCGTTCAGCCTATTTTCACTCTGGCAGTCACATGTAAATGTAATTAACATCTGAATTATCATAATTGCCGTTAGTGGGTGATCAGGGCAGTGCAGCAAATTTGGGATGGTTTTGAATTGCCATTGAGAAGCCAGTGGTTTTGTTGAGTTTGGTTGTTTTTGCCATACTTTAATTTACTAAGTTAAGTCTGCAGTATTGATTTAAATTTTGAGCTATTGGGTCGAATTTCACAGGAAATTCCAAGCTTGCTTCATTCATTCTTGCAGGTTTACATCAAGTCTTTAAACACTTGTCCAGCTGCTATATCCCGTTTTTGGTTGTGGAGTGGTTGTACCTTGTTGCTACATTAATAGTGTTGTTGTGTAGAATTTGAACACAGCAACCTGGGACCTCTGGGAGGACCTCTGGGAAATCACCCTTGGTCAAAACAAAGAGCCCTTGAGCTGTGGAGGGTCTGAAAGTGACAGAGACCATGACAATACAAAATCTGAACCACAGACTCAGATGTGATACTTGCAGTCGCTGCCAAAAATATTGATACCCATGTTTATTTGTTCCACAATTTCTTTTAGAAAGTTGATCTAAAAATAATAATAATAATAATTTTACAAATCTTAATTTACTGAATGTAAATCTGATTAATGAATAAAGTTAGATTTCAGTTTAAATATACATTTGAATGTGAAAAACAATCAGATTTTGAATAAATCAGGTGAAGGATTCAATGATTCACACATTAAGATAGTGAGTCACCTTGACTTGAATTGCTTTTTTTATTTTATGATGATCCCTGAGGTCCTGTTAATGTTTATTTATGCCACCTCAGAGCTGCATTAAAGAGCTTCTGTAAATGCACCTAAATGCCCCTTTAGATGCAGAGCAAAAATGCTGATTTTATTTGATTGGTAGCAGCCCTACAGTGTTTTATTATTCTAATTGAATTAAATTAAATGTAAAAATTTGACAGATGACTGATACATTTAATAAGGTTATAAAAAGCCATTATGAAGGTAAAAAATGCCCCTGGAAATCAATTTAAGGGGGCAAATAACGTCCCTTAATGGGAATGTTAATTTCCGTCACTACTGTGGTTATGAAACCAGAGCTTAAACTAGGACATCTGCTGTGTTAATGAAAGTATAATTAGACATTCCTGTTCACAGTAGCATAGCTTTACATCAGTGAGCTTGTGCTGAACATACACAAAGCACTTGTTTGCTGCCATTAAACCTCAGGTCATTTAATGTTAAATATAAAATATTTCTTCTCTAACTGCTCAATATTAAACGGTTATATTTCAGTTCTCAATGTTGATTGCAATAAAATATTTTTCTTAGAAAGAAAATGTAAATAGTGTCTCTTTAGCGGGAATGAAATCTCTAAGCCTGATCTCCGAGCGCAGAGATAAAATGAGTTGCTTGCATTAATATTCACAGGGAACGCAGCGAAGCCCCACAGCAATACCTGCCCGCAAAGCATCTGTAGAATTTACACCATCCGAAACTGATGACGCGAGATGCATCTATGGGAGCCATTAAATCTCATTACCAGACTTTATGAGCTGCGTATTAAGCCTCAACTGTGAGTTGTACTTTGGGTAATTACATGTTAGCACAATTTCCAGCTTTTAAAAGAGTACCAGGGACACCGTTGTGCTCTTTAACTGCTGTAACAACACCCTGAAATGCTACTTCGAGTCGAGGAACAGAGAGTGTTAAATCCTTCGTTACAATCCTCCTTCACAATTCTTAGAATTCCATGAGGGCACAGACGGATTTGAAGCACGTCTGATTTATAAGGGAATCAGTGTGAAATGAGAAGCGTGCTATAAAAAAGTGGCTCGAACCACAATAGAGGACTGAGCTTTTCCCAATGTGTCAAACTTGTCAATATATACAACAGGATTTCTGTTTATATTCCATTTCTAGCTAGAAATCATCTCCTGTCATTTCACACAAATTCGTTTGATAATGAAATCTGTATAATAATGTTAGCGAGCCAGTCTTATTTTTGTTGTTTTTTTTCAGTGTTGAGCCTTCATATCAAATGTGAAATGAAAATGCACCTGAAAGGTGTGTTCAAATCAAGACTGACAAAAATATATTGGGCTAAATGAAGAACAAATGGACCTTAGTGTGTCTAATTTGACATTCTAACTCATTTAATCTTCTCTTCGTCTTTTCTAAATCTGTTATTCCGGTCTATTTATTTTGAGGAACGAGTGAAGAGCACCATTGCAAAAATCTACGTCTAGAGTGTCCAAACAAATTGTTGGAGCCAGATGCGCTTTTTAATGACAGAATATACAAAGCACAATAGTAATACATGAAACACAAATATGGGTATGCTGTATGAACATTTGCCTACTGACAAAGCAATGTTACTTTGTACGGTGAGCATGTCAGTTTTTTGGAGTTAGACCATCAAAAAATATTTGAGTTTTGGTTCATATATCAGAGCACTTGGTGGCACAGAAAACAGTATTGATGACTTGTACTCCACAGTAGAGTTTGGATGGGTATATTACATTTATTAGTACATTATTCCAGGTCCTGTCCGCTCACGCTGGCTCCCACAGCTTTGACATTTTATCCACGAAATCCAGCAGGTAGAAGGCAATGAGGATTTTCCACTCTCGTAAGGTTCTGTCCCGCACTGATGTAATAGGTTAAAGGTTCGTGTTGCACCCTCTATTGTACGAGCAGGAATTTTGTGCTTCCTTCAACCTGATGCATATTCGTTCCACTCTGATGTGAAAAGACCATTCATCTGCCATTTAGCTACCTCATTTTTCACTCATTTTCACAGGCCTTAAAGGGATACTCCACCCAGATGTATGTGACTTTCTTTCTTCTGTGGAACACAAATGGAGATTCTCCATATAATGTCAGTATATGGATCCCTGAAAGTTAAAGTTTCAAAAACCACATAAAAAGAAATAATCCATACGACCCCATTAGCTGGTTTAAGCTGGAAGGAGCTGGTTTTAGCTGGTCTGCCTGCCTGACCAGCCAAAGAAGTGGTCAAAACCCCTTTAAAAGCAGCCTGCGCACCAGCTATGACCAGCTAAATCCAAGGGCACTTGATGAATCATTGTCTTCTGAAGCAAAACGATAAGTGTGTTTGAGAAAACTATAAACAATAGCTTTCAAGTTTACCAGGTGACATGTTTAATATTTTTTTGATGTTTCTCATCATAAGACATTGATTTATCAACTGGGGACGTATGGATTACCATGATTTCCATTGCATTATTTTTCTCTGAAACTCCATTTCCATTCCACAGAAGAAAGGAAAGTCATATACATCTGGGATGGTATGAGGATGAGTAAATGATGAGACAATGTTCATTTTTGGGTGGAGTATCTCTTTAATGGGCATTTACGGGATTCTCAAACTTGGAAGTCGTCGTAGGTGCATAAACGTCTATAATGATGAACAGGAGACTATTTTTGCATTCCCATTTCCTCCAACAGAAAAATTCCATGA